CTAATAATATATCACATTCTAACTTATTATAATTAGATACTTTATTTATTATAACTTGTTTACTACCAAGTATTATATTAACTTTTTCAGCGCTATCAATTATTTGAGTACTTTCTCCAGTTACTCTTGTTATCTTTATTTTACTATTTCCATGATTTTATTAAGAAATTTTTAAAAATTGTTATATCACTTCCTGTATCAATTAAAGCACAAGTTGTTATATTTGTTTCTACTATAGTAACTTGTATATATACTGCCAATGGAAAACTAATTTGATTATTCATCCACTTCCTATTTTACATAATGTAGTTTGTCCTTTATGAGTTATATATAATTCTTCTCTTCTTATACTATAATCTTCTAATCCATTTAAGAAACTCATTCCTAATAATATATGAGGTTCAATATCCATACTTTTATCTAAATAACATGGTACTAAAAGATCAATCCCACCTATTTTTATTGGTACCTTTACCTTTAATTCTGTAATATATAATTGTCCATCAAAATTTCTATATTCATATGGTTCTATCTTGTAAGTCATTAATCCTTCATTTTTATTTGCAGCCATATGACATTCACCAGCTCCTGTGTCTATCAATATATTTGGTCCTTTTATATACCTTTTACCATTGAAATATTTTCCTTCTATTTTTATATTTCCAATATTGCTATGAGGTTTTATTTCTTTTATACCACTAGTTTCTCCTATATATTCCTTTTTATTAGATAGTCTAAGACTTTTTGATTTCTTTATCAACCTTCCATTATGAAATGTTATTTTATAATCTTCTTCTTCTCTTACCTCTGTTATTTCAGGCTTATTTTTAGTTATATTAAATTCATATTCTTCTGGAATAAGATTTATTTGTTTGTTTTGTTCCACTATCTTACTAATATCCTTACATTTCTTATGAATTTCTATATATGGTTTATTAGAATAAATATTTCCATAATTAGAATTAGTAAATGTATATAATGCCCTATATTCCATAGTCATAATTTGATCTCCTGGTTCCATTATATCATTTCTATGTAATTTGAAATGTAATCCTAAGACTTCATTAAAGTTTTTATCTTTTAATGAGACACAATATTTTGGGTAACAAGTAAATATTAACTTTTGATATGCTAAATTTCCCTCTATAGTTCCTAAATGACCATCTTCCAAATTTATAATTCTTCCATCATGTAAACTTATAGTTAATGGTGAATCTATTCCTTCTCTAAATAAGGATTTAAACATTATTTGTATTCCTGCTAAATAAACATATTGGATCTTTTCACTGTGCTTTTTACTTATTTTTAATAATAATTCTGATGCTGTATTTTTTGTTAAAAGGTTTATTTTATGTGTTCCTTGAGTAGTTCTAACATCTATGATTTTTTCAATCTTATGATATTCATTTATTGCTATTCTTTCTCTTCTCCATATTCTATCTAGAATTTCCCATTTTCCTATTTTTAAATCTAAGGATAACTTTTGTATCTTCCTAAATTTATTATTATCAAAAGTTACTTTTAATCCATAACCTTCTATTCCCTCATATTCTTGGATTTCTATGTTATTATTTTCTATTTCCTCAATTTCTCTATTCAGATTCTAATCCATAATCTTCTGAATCTACCTCACTTATAAATATTTCTTGATTATTATAATTTTCAATATCAGATATTTCATTTAATTCGCTTTCTATTTCAAAATAATCATTTTGTAATATTCTCACTTTTTTCTTTGTGCAATCAGGACTTATATGACCTATTTCTTCACAATTCCAACACTTACATTGTTTTTTATCTTTCTTATAAGGTTTATTTTTCTGTATATTATTTTTCCTTTTATAATATTTCCTTCCAGATTTTATGTATTTTTTCTTAAAGTTTCTATATTTTTTAAACTTTCTATTTTTATACTTTCTTTTATTTCTTTTTTCTGAATTACATCCCCATCTTATAGGTTTTTCCATATCTTCACAACATATTCGAGTTAATTTTCCTGATTTTTTCAATAATTATCTTTGTTGACATATATATGCAAGTCTTTCAAACAAGAATTTTATTCTTGATCCTAATATCACAAATTGTTAGGTTAATTAACTTAACTCTTGCATTATCTTTTTCTCGTATTGCTTCCTCTTCATAATTTCTTAACCAATTTTCTCCTAAGAATTAATCTGCAATATATTCTACTAATCTTTCTATTCCTAGTTTATCTGACTTTATTATTTCCGTTTGTACATTTCTTTTTATTAATGATTTTGTATCACTACTAATTCCTTCCCACCAATTTCTAACATTTCCTTCAAAACATGCAATTAAAAAATCTATTCTCCTTTCGGTATTTTCCCATGTATTATCTTTATTATATAAAAAGAATAATATCATTGAGTCTGCTCAAGTTATTAAGGCATTCTTAGTATCTATTTTACAATCTAAGTCTAATTTTGTTCCTCCATGGTTAACAGGTTTATCATAATTATTATTTAATTCAAATCTATTACTGTATTTATTTCCTTTGGATGGTTGTTTATCTCTTATTTTATCATAAAATTGTCTATATGGTTTATTATACATTGGAGCATAGCTTTCATCTGGATCTATTGATTCTTGTTTAGAGGTTCCTACGGGATTAGGTCCTCCTCCAGTATTCATTAAGATTTGGTATTCATCATCTATATTTTCTAAACTTAAATGATCAAAATTATTTATAAGTAGATCTAATTTTTCATTCATCTTCTTTGTCCTGATTTTCTTCAATTTTTTGTTTACCTAATATTTTTTCTCTAGATTCCTCTTCTTCTATTATTTTAGGTAATATATTTTTTCTAAACTCATCATCCATGCTTCCTGTTTCTATTATTATATTTTTCCTTTCAATATGTTTTTTCCCTATTCTGGTTATTTCTTTTTCTATAAATTTTTTATCTACTCTATTATTCTTTTCTTCATTTTCTTTTAATTTTCTAACTTCAAGTTTTAATATATTTATATTATTTCTAACTTCTTTTATTTCATTCTTAATTTCTTGTACATCATTTATTAATGTTCTTATTAAATGTTTTAATTCTTCCATATGTTCACTGATTGACATTTTATCTATTTTTTGATTGGCAATAATAAAATACTATACACTCAGTATTTTTACACTCTTTTATCATTTTATCATATTTTTGTTTTATTATTTTAGGATTTGTTATCTCTTTTAATTTTTCATAATACCTTGCTTTTTCTTTATACCTTTCTTGTTTTAATTTTAATATTTGTTTTTCTTGAGTTTTAGTTATATCTCCAGGTATTAATAATTCATCTAAAATTTTATTATTTATTAATCTTATTCTTTCTAACTTCGTTTCTAAAATATTTTTAATTTTTTCCATTATATTCTTATGATGATTCATATATTTCTCTATGATACAACTCATTTTCAAATATTTCGCAAATTATTTCATATGTACGTCTATCTTTGATAAATCCTACAATTAATTTATGTAATATTTGTTCCTTTATTTCTCTAGGCAAATTTCTAGTTATATATAATGTTATTATTTTTAATTTATTAGGGATGGGGTTGTAAAATATATAACATCCTTTTTTTTCAATACATTGATAATAATTATTTATTTTTAAGATTTCCATGATAAAGTAATTTCAGATTACTATGAAATTTATTTCACTCTGGATTACTTTTAATATATATATATATATATATATATGTTTATATTCTTCAAATAATATCTTTTTAATTATTTTCTCTTTTAATTCTAAAGGTAGATTTTTAATTACTCTAAAAATTTCTAATACTTCGTTTATATCTTTACTATATGTTCCAACTATATTATCTTCCTCTATATAGCCTTTTATGTTATAACTATATTTTACCTGGTACCTTAGTGTATTTTTATAAGTTTCAATAATTTCTAAAATCATAATCTTTTAGGTAATTTTATTTTTTATATATTTTCTCATGATCTCTATGGCTCTGATACCAAAGGACGAGTGCTACTAAGAGCGAACAAAAATCTAATAATCTAAAAATCTAATAATTTAAAAATCTAAAATTTTAATTTTCCAAAAAATCTTTTATTTTTACTATTAGGTGTATATAAAATCTTAAGATAAAGACTAATTTTTTGTATATTTGTGGTAATCTATTTTTTATTAGTATTTTCATAAATTTTTAAGTAATTCTTCAAAGTCTAGTAATGTTTGGGAATTTATAATATCAATATATGTTATCATATCTATGTCTGTTCTAAAAGGTATATCATATTTTGAGATATTTTTCTTTCTTTTTTCCAATTTATCTATTATATCTTGTATGTCTTTTATGATTATTGATCTTATAATTCCTTTAGCAAAGTTTTCTAATATGTTTTCTTTGAAACATTTTAATATTTCTTGTGATGCATATAATTGTTCTTGATATCCTATCTTATCAATTTCTTTTTCAAACTTAATTTCCTTTTTATTTTTAATAATCTTTTTTATATTATATGGTCCTCTCTTATATTTGGGTTTTTCTATTTTATAATTATTCATTAATAATTTTCACAAATTTTTAGAAAAATTACTTGTTAATTATTTAAGGACTTAAATAGAAGATTTATATTAGATAAAGGGTTGTTTTTTAATATTTGTTAAAGGGTGTTTTTGGTAGTTCAAAATGTTTATAAAAGTCAAAGGTCATTTTGGAAAATCCTTCTTTTATTTGGGTTATTTTCATGTATTTCCCTATAAGTTGACGGTCAACTTGATAGATTATTGGATTTTTAATTTATTTATTTTTTTTGTCTCAGCTTTAAAGAACTTGGAATCTTACTGAATTTAAAATTATGCTTTCTTTATTTCATTGATCTTTGTTTACTTAAATCATTAAAGAAAGACTTTAATTATTAATTTACCAAAATAACGCAGTTGCAACGAAGGACGTATACAAACAAACTAGGATATAGCCCCGTTTGATACGTATAAATGAGAGTGAAAAATATAATATTATTAAGATAACAGCAAAATTACGTCATCTGAGTACTATATTAATGTATACAGATATTCATTCCATTCCGATCATCTCCCACTACTCGCTACAATCTTGAGTTTCATTTGATTCACATACTGAATTTGAGAGAAAACGAGATTAGATGGCAGAGTCAGCAGTTCTTACAGCAGTCATTAATCAAGTAGTAGAGATAGGTGCCAAACTACTTGTCGAAACAGGTTCACACTCGTATCACTTGAAGGAGGACATAGAATGGATTGAAAGCAAGATGAGACACTTCAAATCGTGTCTCAAAGATGCCGAGTCAAAGCAAGATGGAAGCTATGAAGTTGCTAACTCGATAAATGACATGAGAAATCTTGCTCTGGTCATCGAGGATATTTTGGATACTTACCTTCCAGAGATTGAATCGCACAAGGGAAAGGGACCATTTCGATTCGTTAAGCATGCTGCTTGTATACTATGTTATGGTGCCACTGCAAATACCTTTGCTCGGAAAATTGAGAGAATCAAGAGACGGGCCCAAGAAATTGAAGCCACTAGAGAAAGATGCCGTATAAATCTTGATCCGGATGGAGGTATGCCGATTTTATCCATTTAGATCAATATAAATCTGAACATGTTATATTCTGTGATTTTTATTTTTTCATTTTTTTGGCAAAGAAACATTAATATGAAAAATCAAGATCTCTAAATTGCAGTCTTCTATAAATATGAGAAGGAGGGCTATTTTTCTTTGTCCAATTAGTAGGAAAGAGCTTCTATGGTAGTTACCCAAATAATTATGTTTTTTTAAGTGGTAATTATTAAACCAATATCTTATGACTATGAACCACATTAAATCGAACAGGTAATGCAGATATGGATGTATGGGATCGAAGAAAAAGGTTTTTAGTTGCCCCGGAGTCAATATTCGTCGGTCGTGAAGATACATTGCAGGAAGTCAAGGAAAAATTGAGGAGCTCAAACTTAGATTGTAAAATGATATGTATTGTTGGGGACGCAGGTGTGGGCAAGACTACTGCAGGTAAAAAAATATATAAAGAAGTGCAAAATGAGTTTACTTCTTCTGCCTTAGTCTATGTCTCAAATGAGCCTAGAGTCCAAGACCTTCTACTTGAAATAGCAAAGCAAGTTGGCCTTGAAAAGGAAAAGATGAATGAAAATTTGGAGGTCAACTTGCGTTCTCTGCTCAATGAAAAAAGGTGCTTAATTTTTCTTGATGATATTTGGACAACTGAAGCATGGGATGACTTAAAAAACGTTATCCCCATGAACTCAAGAAATGGTAGCAGAATTATCATTACTTCTCGACGTACTGATGTGGGCAGATATATTGGTAGTGAAAGCTCGTTGATTGAATTGAAACTTTTAGATCAAGAAAAGAGCTGGGAACTCTTCTCCGAGTCGATGAAATCTTCTTCAGAAAATATGAGTGAGAGATTTCCTCCAAAAGAATTGGAAGATATCGCTAAGAAGATAGTAAAAAGATGCGGTGGGTTGCCATTGGCAATTGTGGTTGCGGTGGGTATGTTGCGGCAGAGAAGAAGAAATAAACATGCATGGAATGAGGTGCTTGACATCTTGAGCACTAGTTCTGAAAATAATTGTTCAAAAATCTTGTCTCTGAGTTACAAAGATTTACCTCCTGACTTGAAGCCTTTTTTTCTTTACTTTGGGCTCTTCCCCGAAGATGAAGAAATTGTTGTGTTTGATTTGGTCAAGGCTTGGCTTGCCGAGAAATTGATCCAGGATGACGGAAATCGAAATCCTGATGACATTGCGGCTGCTAAATTGGAAATGTTAAGTGATAGAAATTTAATTCAAGTTTCTAGGAGAGATTTGGATGGAAGAGTGATAAGTTGTCGCATTCATGATCTTCTACACGTTTTTTGCATCGAAATGGCAGAGGAGAACAACTTCTTTTGTACAAGCCATAATATACACTCTAATTCTTTTTCAATGCTACGTAGACTTACCGTTGACAACACTAGTCAATATTCTTTTTCAAATTCTAAAACTCCAAAACTTCGTAACTTGCTCTGTTTCAGTAACTGGGGGGAAGAATGGTCTTTGATTCCTAATGAGATAGGAAACTTGAGTAGCTTGACTTGCCTTAAGTTGAGCGGGAAATTTCAAAAGATACCTTCAACCATAAGGAATCTCAAGAAATTGGTGACATTGGATATTGGACAAGCACAATTTCGTTTTCAATTGCCAAGAACTATTTTGAGGATGAAGCATTTGAAGCATTTACTCTTAGATGATGAAATGTTTGAGTCTAACAAATGCACAAAATTGAATGTCAGAAATGAGGTGTGTTTACCGAACATAAAAACTTTACGTTGGGTGCCTGGTGCCATTTTGAAAGCTAGATCATTACAAAAACTTTCCAACTTGAGACAGCTGGCTTTATATGAGGCTAATGACGAACATTTAAATGCAATATCTGGTAAAACTCCAATATCGAAGAAGCTCCATAATTTGGAATTGTTTGTGATTCAGAAGTTTAAGAGGTTAAACCTGTCCCACTATGACCATCTTACTAAGTTGATTATCTTAGGAAGAATTTTTGTTTCATTAACGCCCGACATCATTGAATTCCCTCCAAACCTTATCTACCTTTGCCTTGGACACGCGGTATTCATTGAGGATCCAATGAAGGTACTAAAGGAACTACCCAGATTAGAGATCCTTGGTTTGATGTATTGTAATTACAGCCAATCAATCACGTTCGATTTCTCAGGAGAGAACAGCTTTCCAGAGCTTCAAGTTTTGTCAATTATAGGAGTTACTGTAGACAGAATTCCGGAGTTGATTGTGGATCAAACAGGGATGCCAAAGCTTTACAAGTTTGAGTGCTCCGAAAAAGACTTAAATGTTCCCGAGAGACTACGTAAAATAATGGTGGAGTCTTCCTTGTTCCCGAGTATTGAAGAGGTTAGTGTGCTTGTTCTAGATCTTATTATGGTTTATACTGTTTCTTCCTTGTTTTCTCCTTTCCTTAAAATAAAATATTGAAATACTCTTTTCTTTTTCCGTACAATATTGTGGAGATATAAATTTAAAATTTAACATAATCCAAAATTTTTCTTTTAAGCAAATTTATAATTCAAACACAGAGATTAATAATTAGTTAACTGGAGTAGACGATATTGAATACAATTGAGGGATGTGTTTCAAAAATTTTAGTTGTTATATTCAATCAAGATTACCAAACACAGAAAGATGGGATAAGAGTTTTTGAACCAAAGTCATTCATAATTCAAGATGTTAGGATTATTTTGCACTAGTATGCATCATGCTTTTATTTATATATTTTTGTAACCATCTATTACAAAAATAATAATAGCTAATGCTTTGGGTATTTGTTTGAGTTTAAATTGATAGAACTCATTGATGATTAGTTTCATAATACAGGAGCACTTGATTTATTTAATTTTGTTTGTTTGTCTTATGTGTTGGTGGTAGCTTTGAATCAACAAAAAGAGGAGGCTTATCAAGGTGGACTTCTTGAGTATTCATCTTTTTTACTTGTCAAAAGTGAATATGGACATTATAGTGCTTTCTTGCTGCACCAATAATAGGTGTCGATGTGTCATACGATTTAGTATCGGTGGTAGTCATGCTTTTCGTGAGTTTCATGTCATTTTAGTGTGTTTTCTTTAGTTTGCTTGTGAGTGATCATGTTCAATATTTTTTGTTACTTTGTAAAATATTTGTCCTTGGACAATGTTCTCACTTTCTTGACAATAAATTTGTATTTTCTAGAAATTCACTATTGAATAATCTTATTTATTTTTTAATCATTAAATGAATATCTCACATAAAGACTTTTAATTCTTCTCGAGTCGTGATTGGCCATAAACAATGAGAGTTTATCTGTATGAATGATGTAGATGTTTTCCAAATCTCGGTAGACTAGGATACCATATCATCTGCCTATGTAATGTTGTTGTTTTTTTCTTTTTTCTTTTCTTTTTTCTCTTTGTTATGACGGGGGACCTACAGTCGCTACCCTTTGGGTGCGTACTAGGTAAACCTACAAATTGACACAATAGCTTCCGAACCACGCTAGCCAGGTAAACAGTGCTAGACAAGTCCCGTGCGACAGGCTCAACCGAGAAAGTACTGGTAGGAGGAAACGAACTTGTGACCAAATGTCTCTGCGCTCACATACTTTACCAATTCGACCACCCTATGAGAGGCTCTTACCTGGGTGTGTGCTTGGTTATTCGTGCTTAGTTCCTTTAATTATTTTTGAACAATTAAAGGATTATTAAAGTCATTCAAGCAACACTCAAGCCGAAAACATGCACAGAAACCAATTGTACCACTTATTATTTTTGAACAAAAGACAACTGAGGATTACAAATTTAAATACTCCTTAAATACTAAATAAAGGCCAAACAACTAAAAGAAAGACAATACTTAAAATTTTTTAATCAAAATTGCAAGTGGAATACATTATTTGGTCTTTATTCAGTTTATACGTATTGGATATATTTATTTTTATCGTAATACACAATCTTATTTCATCATCAATTTGGACAAAACTAATGCTTCAACTAGGGATGGCAATGGGCCGAGGGTAAGCTCGGCTCGAGCTCGTGAAAAACAAGTGGAGCTCGAGCTCGGCTCGTTGCTCGGGCCCACGAGCTCGTGAGCTCACGAGCCACGAGCTCACAGGTTGAGCCCATGAGCCGCTCCTGAGCTCATGATTTTTTTAAATTTTTTTCTTTTTGTAAATTTGCACATTTTTTTACGAGCTTGACGGTTCACGAGCCGCTCGCGGGCTCGGCTTGTGGAATTGAGCCCCCCGCTCGGCTTAGGCTCTTCAAATCGTCCACGAGCCGAATTTTAAAGAGCCGACGAGCCACTCGACCCGTTTGACATCCCTAGCTTCAACCATTAATCGATTTTTGTATATCGTTTCCAATTTTTGAGTTATTGGTGCATTATTTCGAATGTGGCGTGCCAAACAAGTTAGTTAAGATTACCTAAAGATCTTAGGGTCCGTTTGATTGTAAAGATGAAATTCGGGTGAAAATAAAACGAATTCCAAAGTATTGAATTGCCTAAAAATTATTTTATTGGGAATTGTTATTTATTGTGTTTGATTTGTATAATTTTTCTCCTGAAAAATGTTGAAATAAAAGTGTTTTTGGTGTTCGTTTGGATTTGTTTTATATAAAAATTGTCAATTAAAGGAATTAAATTTACTGGTATTGGAAATAGAATTTGTTTCCATTGTTAAAAAAAAAAAGCCCAAAAAAATCATCTATCTTTTGGTGTTCGTTTGATTTTATTTTACATGAAAATTGTGAATTTATTTTCCTTTACAATTAGGGATAGAATTTGTTTCCATTGCTAAAAAAAAAAAATAAAAAAAAAATAAAATAAAATAAAACCGACAGCATAGCCTAGAAAACCAATTGCCTCCTATTAAAAACCAAGAAAAAGTCCATGTGGTAAGAAAACCAAGAAAATAAATTCCATGGAAAAAAATTGACATCAAGCATGGCAAAAGTGGGAAAGTGGAATTCATTTTCTATTTTCCAAGGAAATCATGGCCTATCAAACATGGCCTTAGGTCAAGTTGATGGATTATTTGCTTTTATTTATTTTTATGGGTCTACTTTCATTGGTTACTTATTTTCGTTTTTTGTCCTTATACAAGCAAGTCCGTGGTTGTTAGGTCTGAATGAAATGAACTATCCTCTCATTACTGAATTAAAAAATTGCCTTCTTTCTTATTTCATTAGTCTTCGTTTACTTAAATCAATACAGAAAGACTTTCATGATTAATTTACCAAAGTAATACAGATGTTGGGAAGGACGTATACATCTATGATGTACTACTACTAATAAATAACGACCACCAGGGGCAGCAGCACGGTCCAGTTTTTCAGCCCATTTCATTTTGATGGATTAAAGGTTTTTTAATTTTTTATATGTTAAAAATATTTTTTTTCGTGTAATTTTTTTTTTTTTGACATATTAATCTGACTTGGAATTTATTTTAGTCTGATTCCAAATCCCCTCCTCAACAACACTATGCCATTTGAGAACTATTATTTATATGTACAAATATTCAATTTCACACAAAAAGTGCAATTTTCACACCATCTTAGTTAATCATCTTCAACTTATTACACCAATTATACTCAAAATCAATCGTTTCCTTTATTTCCTTATTTTTAATTCTCTACAATAAATTTTGAAAGTTCAAATTATTTAGACCCAATGTACGGAATTAATCACTTAAAAGTAATAAGTCACTTCTTAATTGTTTCTAGATGATTAATGTTAAATTCAATTTAACCTTATGTGTCAATCAAATATTTTAATCAATCAGATCAAAAGCAATAAATAAATTAACACTAGATATGATCACGGAGGAAAACTCTTCTATGGGATCAAAAACCTCTAGGAAAACTTTCCAATAAACTCTACTAGAAAAATTAACTTACAATTAATTCAAACATTGCCATACCTTACCTGACTGTTGCCACATAGTTTGCAAATTACCAAGAAACTCTTTTGGTTGTGCGCCCTGCACTTTTTAGAACTTTGGACCACTTTTCTCTCATGTGGATCACTAAGAACGAACTCGTCCCCAATCGAAACTCTGATCACTTCCTGGATTTTTAGAACTCTAACGGACATGTTGGAAGTAAGTGGGTGATTTGGTGTTTAATCAATAGATCTTTCTGTGTTTTGATTTGTGGTATAATATAGATAATTCTGGCTCAACCTATCAAAGTATGTTCGTGATGAATTATGAATAAGTAATCAAGAGGCTAAATCAAGAGAACTTTGGCCAGTGTTTTGGATATTGAAATAATGTTCTCTATAATGATTGCACATATATCTTCATCAAAAAGTAAATCCGGATTTATTAACAGAGTATTCATTATCTCCTTCAATGTTTGAGAAAATATGGTGCGATAGTTCAATGAATAATTCCATGTTCCAAACAAAATTGTTTGAAAGGGGAATCATAATTTCTATCCCTATCACTTTTTTATTGCATCAATCTTTTTCTTAAGTGGATTTTCAACCTTTGACTTATAGTGTTTAAACACTTCAATTGTTTCGTCTTTGCTTTTGAGTAAACACACATAGCAATATTGAGTATAATCATTGATAAAGTATAGTACTTTATAAGAAACTTCTGATGATTTTCGTTATGAAGAATGAAAATAGTATCATTAATCTTGAGCTCTAGAGCTATGTCTTCATTGTTTATAGTTCTAACTCGCAAATTGACTCTTACTTCAAGACGTTATCTGAGGCAATTATACTGTTTCAAATAAAAGATGTAAACTATTATTTAGTCAAAAGTCTATTTCTCTTCTTGGCTAACTGATCGAAGGAAGAGAATATGATGCCCAATTAATTTAGACCAAGTGCATGTAAGGAATTGCAAGCAATGTAATGCAGGGGAAACTAAGGCCCCGTTTGATTGCACGAAATTTTCCATGGAACTTGGAATTCGAATTCCAACTTCCACTTTTGGCCTGTTTGATTGACAAAATTTTCCAGGGAATTGATTTTCCATGAATTTCTAGGTACAACACCTTAAAGCGTGATTTTCCACCTTTTTTTTCCTAGGGGATAGATGGTTTTTGGTTTTCCACCTTTTTTTATTTTTTGCTTTTTTTATTTTTTTTTAATTGTTGGCAATGGGAACAAATTTTAGGAATAATTGTAAAAGAGGATATCCCTGAAATTGACAATTTCCACGTAAAACAAAGTCAAACGAACATCAAAAAATACTTTTACTTCAACATTTTCCACGTGAAAAATTTATATAATCAAACACAATAATTTACAATTTCCATGAAAACAATTTCTAGGTAATTCAATTCCTTGAAATTCATTTTCTTTCCATGTAATTTTCCTACTTGTAATCAAACGCACCCTAAGTGTATACAAAAATGTGAGCAAGTGAATAGCTATGTTGCTCACATCTTTCGTTACTTTCTGTTGTTGTGATTGTTTTGATTATAGAATTTTATGTTTAATCGGATCCGAATTTTAGTCTCGTCTCTTTTGGTTTAGTGAGTCAGGCGGGTTGGCAAGCAAACTGAATGGAGAGTGTATAGGTCTTTTTAGTTATTAATGCACCTGTAACTTCGTGTGTGTAGTAAAGAGAGGAACTAATCAATTTTGTAGTTTAAAATCGGAAGCCATAATTCTTAAATTGGTCAATTGTAAACTGTATATGTTGCTAGGGATCATTGGCACTATTTAACCAATCTTATATTATTTAATGGATCTATATTTCTGGAGAGTGATTGCACATATATCTTCATCAAAATGTATGAAATGCCTACGTGTGATGGAAAAATGAATACATCCCTACAAGTTAATGAGTATTTAGGTGATCAATGGTGAGTTTGAAGAGGCTTCAAGATGAGTTTGATTATTATGCACCCAAGTTCTCTAGGTATAACAATCTGGATCTCTATATGGTTTCTTTGTGGAGGCAGTAGTTCTACTACACGGGGAATATCAAATTGAGCAAGACTGTTAAATGAGATGGTAACTGTATTGGGCTATAGGAACTCAGAAATTTGGCTGATGTGATTCCTGGGAGAGTAATCCTCAATTTTGGCTAGCTAAACTCAGCTACTGGATCAAGATGTCGATGTTATGATTATATGATTGATCCTCTGTGTGTATGCCTTCCTCCTATTGCTTGTCCCCACCCAATAGAACTTGTGAATATCTGGTTGGCTAAGTTTTAATCGCGGAATTTATTGTCATTCGTAGATTTGAGGCTACTAATT